CTTTCAAACAAAGCCCAATTTCTTCCTAATCATCATGATCTCTTGCAGTAAGTGGGTTTAATAATCTACCCGTGTATATGAGATCACATTGTAGACAATTCTCTTCCTTTCTCATTTTCTAACATGTTAATATTTGCTGCTTGTGAAACCTTCTCTTATTCACTTAAACTTTGCCATAATCTAGTCTATCTCGTCTAAAAATAAATTAAAAAGTAAGAGTAAATGCAAAAGAAAAACCTTTACTCTTCCAATGATTTGCCCTCACTTCCCTCAAGCTTCATGATTTTACCATATTGATTCTCCATCCTCATGGAATATTTGTTTGTTTTCACTGCATTTTATTTTTCATTTTCTGCCAAACTTTATTGAGGAATAATTGACAAATATTATTGCATGCATTTTAAATGTGCAACATGTCATATTTATTAATCCATTATCCCAACTAAATTACATAAGTTTCTCTAGCAAGTTACCTTACTAAAATATATCCTACTAAAATATATCTACGGCATTAACAGTAAAAAATAATGTCCTATTCTTGAAATGCTCTATTCTTTTTTAGTCTATAAAGCAATCATTACTCTAAATTATTTTTGCTAAGATAACAATCACTGTGCTTGGTGCCCACAGGCATTAGTTCAGTTTTTACTCATACCCCAGTTGTTACCCATTAGTAAGTCAAATAAATAAAATAGAATAAATAGGTAAAATAGAATAGAAAATAGAAAACATTCAAATACATGTAATAAAGTTAAGTATTATTCTGGGAAATGTGTGGGTATATCCTCAACATAAACCAAAATAAAATATAATTCTTATTTTCAGTCACATTCAAAAAGTATGAGACTGTGATTTATTCAATCCCTACAGACCTATGAGGTACGTTTTATAAAACAATTTACATTTTTTAATCATGAAGACATTGAGAAGTTAATGTAATTTGTCCACAATGAAACAACTAGTATATAGTCAAGAAAAGCCCCTATTTACCTTCTGAATTTCAGATACCCAAGCCATATACATATTTCTCCATGTGTATGTTCTAAATGCACCCTCACATTCAGTATTTGTAAAACCTGTCCTTAGTTTCTGTACATTTTCTAATCATCTCACTTTCTACTTTTTTGTCTAAGCAGCAATTTTTAGGTAAATTCACTCTTTGCCATATTATTACCATAACCATCTCACTTGTAGGTAACTACAACAGTGTCCTCCCATTTGGAGGAGGTCAATATGCCCTCTCCAACTCCCCCGTTCACTCTGCACCGCTGCTAGTAATAGCTTCAAAATAAACATCTAATTACTGATGGTAAATTTTACTAACCTTGAAATAAAATTTTTAGCCTCCAAATGCCATGTGAAGTTTTAATCAAGAGAGTGAATTTCTGTGTACTTTTAGGGAATACTTTAAAATATAGAACACAACTGATATTTAAAGAATTCTCATTAAAATCAGGAAATGGTTGAAAGACCCAGATCAAAAGTTGTTTACTTGCTGTTAAAGTTATTTCATACATACTAAGTTAAATATCTGTAAAGAAATTCAAGTACAATCACAAGCATCTTTCACCCAAGAATTGTAGCTTATGCAGCCAACAAAAATCATTTTTGTAAAGTTAAAATTACTTCTACACCTTAAGACTAATTAAATGCTTTATAATTTGTCCCTTCACAGAGAGAGCTGACTAGAATTCTGATACTGTTTCTAATATGTTTAAACACAATAGCAAATTTAATTTTTACTGGTTTCTAACTAAAAATGCAACACTTCCTAAACTTACATCAGAGTATTGAAGATATGCTTATTGTGAGTCTGTCCTAGAGATTAGCCACTATGTCTGTACACACAGCAGTCTGTAGATTAGCTGCTATAAGAAGTCTGAGTCTTTCAACCTACATGTTTAAACTAACTTTTGGATTTGTTATTACCTTTGCAAAGTCAGGTGGCAAGAATTTCCAACTAGGAACTCACTAGAATGGGATTAAATTTGTCATAATATACTTCATGACACTATTTTAAATTAAATTATTTTTTAAGATATTATGCTGAATTCAGTTTTCCCAATTTTTAGTATTTTCATCATACACAGATACTTAATGTTGAAAATAAAACCACCAAAAGAATGCTTGAAAGTGTCACCTTTCATTGCTTTTGTGAGTAGATTAAGTTTAACATTTCTAGCATGGTGTTTGTGTTGTTGATTCTATGCTTCTCCATTAAAACAAAGGAGTTAGTGGTTCAGAAAACAGGCAGATTAATGCCCTAAAAATAACTATGACTATAGCCTACAAAATGATAAAATGACTGAAGAAGGCAGAGGCTCATGAATAATGCCCACTAGGGTTACACAAAGAATCTTCCTTCAAAAACATCTCTCATATACTGTACCACAATTCCTAACAGAATGTATGTGTTGGTATCAAAAGACAGACAGGTGGGTGGCAGGCAAACTAGACAAAACTAGAACTCTCTCTTCACATATTACCTCAAGTCAAGATCCTGGACTGTTCCAGGATTCCATTTAAACAAGTCTTATTTCTAGTGTGCAGACTGAAAACCAAGATCACCAAGTATGAGAGAATGTATGTAAAACTTTTTAAATTGCCTATAAAAATTATTATAGGTAGATATTTTCATTACATATTTTAGTAACCATAGTTTCAATACTAAAAACATGGTGTTAATTTTTAAGTAAATTCATAATATACATTACATACTATGTCAAAATACTTCCATATCCAGAACGCCTAGAAAATTCTTATGGAACTACTTCCTCCAATTCTTTAAAAAAAAAAAAAATAGAAAACTGCCACATTGTTTCTCTTATGTGTTAGGACTGGAAACACAAATTGACTCATTTCTAACATAAAATATTTCCATTACACTGTTCTCAAAGGAGGTACCATAAATGGAGTACTGGGGACGATATCATTTAATATTACCCATTTTTATTCAATTAGAATTAAAATAATTGTCAATAAATGCGAACTCATATAGTTAAAATAAAATTGAATTTTAATAATAAGACATTGTAATGTAATTAGATGTGCTAACTGCTATGTAGAACATTGCTTGTTCATTCCAAACACATGTTGGAGTTCAGATAAACATATAACATTGTTTTCTTTGCTTGTAGTATTTATAAATGGTTGTATTTTACAATTTACCAAACCTCTTTTGTTCAGTTACTCAAACTAACTTCTGCCAAGAACACTAGGCATTTGGCAATAGTACTTCTTCTGGGAGAAAAACAACCCCTTTTCCTCAGAAAATTGAAAATGTTTGTCTTGGCATGAAAACCTTGTATTGAGACCTCTGGAAAGTATTTTAAATTGTTGTTTTTAACCTAGACTTTGTGACTGAAACAGGAAAAAGCTCCATAGCTCTGCAACAAAATACAAATTTATAGGGTTGAGTTTCATTCTTACTAGGATGATGGCAGGAGTTCTGAAAATATAATTTCCTAGGATCATGCTAAAAATTGGGCATTAATATTCAAGAATTTGTTTTTATAAAACCTCAAAAAACTCCTGATGACTAAGAAATGCCAAACGTTGTTTAATAAATACACTGTCTTTAAATACCATATTGGAAAGGATTGCTTCATTTTGATATTCTTTTGGATGTTGACAAAAATAAATTTACTTGATAGCATACTGTACTCCTGTATATGTCAACAAAAGATGTATTCCTAAGTTTTTATCTACAGAGCTACAGTTATATAGATGTAAACCTCTATGCCCTTAAAATATTTGCAAGTACCAAAAACCAGCTTTACCTCAATAAACATAATTGAAAAAGGAGAGAAATGATGGGAGTAATAAGGTGTTTATGAAGATATATTAAAAATCATAGTTGAATCAATTCACAAAGACAACTAGATAGCAGCAACAATTTTTCAGTCACTAATAATTGACAATAAATACCAAACATTCTACTGCCAATTCTTTGCAGATCAAGTCCTATCTACCTTGAGTCTTACCCATATTTTTCCCTTCTAACCACCTGACATAAGAACAGTGACAGCAACATGTTATATGCATGTAACATTTCTGGCAAAGTCAAAATAAATTAAAACTATATCATTGTGCTTGTCATTTATTAGGATGTCTGACACAAAGTTAGTGGTTTAGAAATTCTGGTCTGGCTGGTCTGTATTTGTTGTTTTGTTTTTTCTAAATACAGATATCTACTAAGTACATCTTATGCATTTTATATGCCTATACATTATGTATGCATATATGTATGTAGATTAAAAATTCATAATTGCCTTTTTTAATTAAGTACACATTTTGATTTTTAAAGCTTGGCCCTTCCTGCTATGATTGAATTCTACTTTTATTTAGAAAAATCAAGAAAGGTTCTATTCAAATGACTGAAATAATAGCAAAATAAATGAAAATTACTGTTAATACTGAGGCTGAAGATAATGAAGGAGTGGACTCTTCCTAATCAATTATCTTTTTCTTCCACTGCTGTGGTTTTACAATTACAGACAAAAATCATTCCCATAGGCATTGAAATCTTGAATCATCCTAACACTTTCCCATATTCCTCAGTCTCAGTGCCAATGTAAAGTACAAATCTGACATTATAAACTAATTTAGTATTTTGCAATGGTTAGTGTAGGAGGTTACCTTAACAGAAAACTTTTGTTAAGCAACCTCACCACCCTTTTCCAATTTAAAAATATAATGTTGATTATTTTAAAGGAAGAGTGAAGAATAATTAAAACAAGGTTCACAAGAATTTCTTTATCAGAATTTGTCAAAATAGACATATAAGTAGAATGTAAAGGAAAAAACTTCCTTCTGAAGTTCTTTCTCTTCTCTCTATTCATTAAAGAACAGTGCTTTGCTTCTGACCATTCCAGGAGGGGAAAATCCTCAGGCCACTTAGGGTACATAATTATTTGGGGAACACTTTAAACATGATTAATAATAAAATTACAATGAAATAGTTTTTTTCTATTAAAACAAATAGGAATAATAAAACATACCTGAAAAAGAACATGTACATGGCAGCTGTGATGCAGAATAAAAGGACCTACAACAAGGAGAAAATACATTACTTGTAAAAGAACAATGACATCATCATTTGTGTCTTATAAAAACAAAATACAATTAAATCATGTGCCTGAGACAATTTAAGGAAATGCGAAACCAGTCAAACACATTTATCATTCCGTATTTTCCGTATTATTAGGTTAATAATAAGCCTGTAATAATCTTACTTTTACACATATATGTATATATACACACACACATTACTACAATATGCATACAGATTCGCTAGAAGGCTAACAGAGTTGTAAAGGGAACAGTTAATTTTTTTAAGTGTCTTTAAGAATATGTATGGTAATGACGTAACTTCAGAACATTCAATTTTGTATAATCATCAGCAAACAAATCTAAATTTATTCACTATAATATCAAGACCACATATTTTTAATGTAAAATACAGTTCAGTTGTCAACTAATTCTAATCAACAAGAAAGATTCTAAAAACAGAATCATCTTTCATGGGAAAGCTATACAATAGCTATTTAATAGCTACATAATAGCTATTAAATTCTTTGAAAAGCAGACAGAAGCACATAGTAAGTCAGGAGCAAAGAAACTCCCTCTGCAGCAGCACTGTATAACACAATATACTGGGAGGGTACATGGGAAGAACTCAGGAACCAAGTCCTAACCAAAGCTAAGTTATGCCACCAAAGAGAATCTCCATAAAGTTGTTTTAAATCACCTAAAACAAACAAACAAAATCACCTAAAACAGGAGTTGTGAATACATTCTTATGCTAACCACAACATAAACTGACTATAAGGATTGTCAACTTAGACAATCAACAGACAATTTTAACTGTGTAAGACTGACCAAGAACAAAAATGAAAATGGTACAAAATAGTGTTCTGTTATTTCCAATACAAATAATTTATTTAAAAATTGTATGATAGTTTCATTATCAGTCAAACTTGAAAATTTTGCCACCTAGGTTTTTTTTTTTTTTTAAAAGACTTATTTATTTATTTATATAAGCACTGGATTCAGTCAGAAGCGCAGGAGGGTGAGAGGATTCAACAGAGCCAGAGCGGGGAACAGAACAGGCAGACTGACGAAATACTCTGCTAAGGGGAGCAGCGGGTGTGGCAGGAAAGGTCTGTGTGCCATGTGGGATTCTCGCCAGCAGCCAGCACTGCAGAGGCTGTGGGCAATTTCACAGCCCAGCGCTCAACCACTGTGCCACCAGGGTTTAAGAGAAGCTTTATAATCATAACCTGAATGACTTAGAAATATGTAAATCTATCAATCAAAAGAAGATAGGTACCAACACAAAACACATATTTTTATTATTTATTACATATTATACATACATACACCCTCTTCTCTCCACCTCATCCCCCCCCCACCTCATACTGCTCTTTTCTGTTGCCTTTAAAACTACCCTATCGTGATATCTAAGGTAAATGTCACTGTTTTAGAAAATGTAACACAAATCAAAGCCTATGGAATAACTTTCAGTTATCGATTAATCAACATAAGTTAAAATTCAAATGAGTTTGTTTACTGGTTATAACCTGTCATCTAATGATACAGATCATAAAACTCAATTTTTTATTTCCGTCATTCTATCCTGTTACTTCCAGTCAACTAAGATATTAAAAGAAACTAATGTGTCACACAATTGTAGGAGCTTTGGAGAAAAATAAAGTAGGATAAAAAAACAGAAAGGTAGTGGAGTAGAGGTTATGATTTTAGACAAAGTAAAGAAAGTGGACATATTAGTGGAAATATAAGATGAAAGATAGGCCAGGGAAACATATCCAATGAACCAATGGAAAAGGTGTGAATTTTACTAAGGGAGTTGTTTAGTTTTGTGTTAATTAAAGTTGCTAAGGAGAATTTTATTTTAAACAACATAATTTTTTCAAAATTTTAAAATTAACTGTGCTAACTTAATAATTATTGTAGCTTTAACAAAATGCTTTTCTTTCCAAGTAAATGTAAATCTGCAATTAATGAAGACTTTTTTGTATATTTAAAATTACAGAATTTTAGAGACAAAAAGAACTTCAGATATACCCTATTTTCTCAAAATAAGAAAACTAAAACCTGGGAAGGCAAGTGATGTATCCATGCTTACCCTGCTAGATACATCTTGAATTTCTTTCATTAAACAACCATTAGTCAAGTGGTTATTTTGCATCTTCTATGAACATAGAATATTTAAGTGCATTTCCAACCTTGAAGGAGTTTACAGCTCCACAGTCCAATTCTGTAGCTACTGTTCACATGTGGCTATTTAATTTTTCGATAGCTTTATTGAGGAATAACTGACATATCTTAAAGTCTACAATTTTTAAGTATTTATGTAATGATACATGCCTGTAAAATTAACATCATAATGAAGAAAATTAATATATCCATCAAACCCAAAAAGTTACTAATGGTATTCCCTTATCATTTTACAAACCTTAGCAAAATAAATACAACAATCCAACAATGCCTTAAAAAGCTTATATCTATGACCAAGTGGGCTATATACCAGGGGACAACAGTGGTTCAACAAGTGAAAATCAATCAATGTAATTCACCATATCAACAAAAAGAAAGATGAAAACCATATATGCATATCAATAGATGCCAAGAACGCATTTGATAAGATTCAGAATTCATTTATGTTGAATCCTCAAAAAAAAAAGGGGGATACACTGAATTTATCTTGACATAATAAAAAGCCATATGACAAATCGATAGATAACATGATCCTCAATGGGGAAAAAAGTGAAAATCATTCCACTATCTGGTACAAGGCAAGGAAGTCCATTCTCATCACTATTATTCACATAGTATTGGAAGACTTGGCTAGAACAATTAGGCAAGAGAAGGGTATAAAAGAAATACAAATTGGAAAAGAAGAAATACAATTATCATTACTTGTTGATGACATGATAATATACATAAAAAATTCAAAGGCTCCAATGAAAAACTAGTTGAAACAATGAATTCGTTCAGCAAAGTGGCAAGGTATAAAATCAATACACAAAAATCAATTGCCTTCCTATCTGCAAACAATCAGCCGGAAAGGAAGTAACTAATGACCCCACTTACAATCACAACATAAAAAAAAAAAAACATACTTAGGAGTAAACCTAACAAAGGAGGTGAAGGACCTATACAAAGAAAACTATGACACATTGTTAAAAGATATAGAAGACATACACACGCAAACAATGCAAAGATATTCCTTGCTCATGGATTGGAAGAATTAACATTGTCAAAGTGACCATCCTACCCAAAGTGAGTTATAGATTCAACATAATTCCTATCAAAACTCAATGGCATTCTTCAAAGAAACAGAACCAACATTACTGAAATTCATATGGCACCACAAAAAAAACCCAAATAGCCAAAGCAATCCTGACAAAAATAGAAGAAGAACAGCAATATCACACTTGCAGACATCAAACTATACTATAAAGCCATAATGACTAAAACAGCATGGTACTGGAACAAAATCAGACACACAGATCACTGGAATATAACTGAGGCTCCAGAAATAAAGCCCCACCTATATGGACAGTTTTCTATGACAAAGGAGCCAATAATATACATTGGAGCAAGAAAAGTCCCTTTAATAAACAGTGTTGGCAAAACTGGACAACCATATGCAAAAGAATGAAACTGACTCATTATCTCATACTACACACAAAAATCAACTCAAAATACATAAAGCATTTGGATATAAGACCTGACACCATAAAATACACAGAATACACAGAATAAAAAAATTCACAACATAAACTTCAATAATGTCTTCTTCATGGATACATCTCCAACAGCAAGGAAAACAACAGAGAACATAAGCAATCGGAACTACATCAAGCTGAAATGTTTCTACACAATGAATAAACCACAGCTAAAATGAAGACAACCGACTGAATGGGAGGAAATATTTGCACACCAAGTATCTGACAAAGGGCTATCAAAGCTATACAAAGAAGGGCCTCCCTGGTGGGGCAGGAGGTTGAGTGCTGCAGTGTGAAGCTGTCTGCAGCCTCTGCAGCGCTGGTTCAATCCCAGCCGGCCAGCGAGAATCCCACATGGCGCAGCAGACCTCTCCTGTCTCGCCCGCTGCTCCCCTCTGTAGTGTATTTCATCAGTCAGCCCGCTCTGTTCCCAACCCTGTCTCTAGTGAATCTTCTCACCTTCCCACGCATCTGGCCTGTACCCTGGTTCTTGTATAAAAATAAATAAATCTTAAAAAAAAAAAAAGCTATATCAAAACTTATACAACTCCCCCCCAAAAGAAAACAAATAACCCCAAAACACATGGGCACAAAAGCTAAATAGGCACTTCTACAAAGACATACAGATGGCCAAAAGTGGGGAAATCTTTAATAAGATTTCAGTATATTAATAATTAAAATAGTATAACAACATCAACTGCTGATGTGATCAAATGTTCACTTAATACATGCTCTATTAAGTGCTTGACATGCATCACCTTACATAATCCTCAGAGTAACCCAGCAATGTGTGAGTTATTATCCCTCTTAGTTATGGGACTTAGTCAGAGAGAGGAACCAAAGGATGTGATCTGTCATGTATTTCTCTGACTCCTTTTTAAACTCTCATTAAAGAATTACAGCTTTTACAAATTTTATGCCATTTAATTAAGAACTATCTCTTATTTACATACACAGCAGATAAAAATGTAAGATAGTGTCTCTGTGTCAAAGAGCTCACTATTACATAAGGGACCAGATTTAAGAAAAGCAAAGAACATTCCCTATTCCTTAAAATTGATAGGCAATATTCTAGTAAAGATCACTGATGTAAAAAATATACTATTTAAACTACCAAAATAAGTAATCCCAATATTAAGATTAAAAACTTTACATGTTTACATATTAAGTTAGATGAGATCTAACTTAATTGCATAATTAATTGCATAATCCAGTTTTCTGTTTTTTTTTTCTGATTTGTCATAAATAGCAGAAAAGCAATCTTTATTTTTAGTACAATGTAATTACCAAAAGG